AGGTATGCTACCTACATGTACCTATATACCTACTTCCGAAAGAAAGAAAGAAAGCCCCTAACCTCACATCAAGAAAGAATACCACCTACACCCCGAGATTAAACTCACCCGCCCATTCATATCTGCTTGCTTGCTTGCTTACGGGCATATCCCAAGTGCAAAGAATCGTATTATTTACCTAGATAGACCGCTATCGCTTACCTACTCTTTCGACCTAATCTAACCTACATCATACGGGGAATATGGGAGTAAAACACGATTGATTCCATCAGCCCCCAAATTGCCAACCACTTTGCCGTGTAGGTAGTCAAATATATCTCGCTTCTTTTTAAAACCGGCAAGATAACCAGACTAGGTTAAGCAGTTTAGTTTCTAAAAGCGTCCTAACACTTTAAACAACTTAATTACAAAGGAAAGAAAAGGATGTAAGCTAACCTAGGTATGTGATTTAAAATAAAAGAGAAAGAGAAAGAGAAAGAGACAGAGACAGACAGAGAGAGAGAGAGAGAGAGAGAGAGTAGAACAAAGTATTTACTTACCTAATCTAACAAGAGATATGCTGCATCTGCTGTAGGGTCGGTGCTAGATCTGCTGTAGTGCAGTGCCGAACACCTGGTTACAAATGGCATACAGTGTGGCCGCGTACCTACTAGTACTGTCTACCTACCCTTACCTAAAGAGATTGAAGCTATTCCCAGTTCAATCCAATTCAATCCAATTCAATCCAATTCAATCCAATTCAATCCAATTCAATCCAATTCAATCCAATTCAATCCCTTTTAACCTACTGCCTCAATTGACCTTGACCCTTTGAAGCCGCAAAATGTCTTTTTTCCAGGCCCGAGGGGGGGGGGGGTTGTGGGTTAAATCGCTTTTAAAAGAAATGTACATTAAGTAGATTGCAGTTGGTGAGGTACCTAGTCGGCACTGTATCAGCTGCGCCCATCTGGTTGACACTGTACTACAGCAGATCTAGCACCGACCCTACAGCAGATGCAGCATTTCTCTCTAACAAACCTAAGGGGGATGAATTCTTGCCGATAGAGAAAGTTGCCGTGCGAAATAGGTATGTAGGACCTATATTAACTGCGAATTTTGCAGCAAGCATACCCTTTGTCATAAGAAACTGACTATACCCCCCCCGTGGGTACTTGATTCTTCTTCTCATACCTAGGTACATACTTATCGACTACCTACGAGTAGATCATACAGATAGTCTAGGTAATGTAGGTATTTACCTTTCCATCTCCATATCCACTACACGATATAAAGTCTTACATACCTACCTTACTTACCTATACCTATACTTATCCTCCAAGCGATGAATAAATATCCCACCCCCCCTCCTCTCCTATTTCCCTTTCCCTTTCCCTTTTTCTTTTCTTCTAAACCCCCCCCCCCCCCCCCTACTTCCTATCCTGTGCAACAACTACCTTTAAATCAATCTAGTATAAACTCTCTTTATTTCATATCGGGAACCCCCCCAAAACGTGCGTGTATCAAGGTAACATCGACAACAAATTCCGGACTGAGCGGGCCAAAGAAAAGGTACCCCTTTCTTTCTGATATAATCGGTCCGTCGATGGGACTGTCGTATCAGATTCATATATGGTAGACAGACACCGGGCCGAGCCGTCATCTACCTACGACTTAATTTCTTGGAGGTATCATGTTACAACTTACCGATTCTAGGTAGGTCTGGGTCAGCTAGGTGTTACTCTTACACTGATTTTCTTTTCTTTCTTTGACCATACACATGAATATCTAATATGAATGAAATATTGGTATTTGCGCCATCCCTGGCCAAGATCAGTCGTAGAGTGAAAGGGTTTAGAAATATGTTCTTCGTCTATATGTTATTGTTTCCGTCGCTCATTTATACAACTGACACCTAAGCTAGCGACTTGGTTGACTACATGTAATAGGAATGATTGGTCTATATTTACTTCATTCAATATAATCACATGTTAAAACATAAATAGTCTAAAAGATATGATTCTCTCTTTTTACTTCTCCGAGATATATTTTTTCAACTTCGTGTCCCAGATGTGACATCTTCTATAATCGCACCAGTCGATTATTCTACTGGAAACCCGAGTTGTCCGGGGGCGTGGGGGTATCGGTAGGGCCAGGGGGTCCCGGGGGATCCTGGGTCTTGGTGATGGTATGTGAAGTAGGCTTCGCCGTGGTCTTGGTAGAAGTAGGCTTCTTGGTCGTCGATTTAGTAGTGGTAGTAGGCTTCTTGGTAGAAGAAGACTTGGTCGTCGTCGGCTCGTCCGTAGTCTTGGTCGTCTTGGTAGTCGTAGTAGGGGTAGCAGTCGTCTTGGGGCATGTGCCCTGAGAGTGCTCGGATCTGTGCGTCGGGGTGGGCGTCTCGCTGACCTTGGTCTTGGGGCGCGCTCCGACGGTGACATCGGCGGAACCGCTGCCGCGCTGGCCCTCGACGACGATGTCCATGTAGACATGCGAACCGAGCTCCAAACCGGCAGCCTCCCATGCGCGGAAGTGGTTACCGGTGTTGATGGTGCCTCCGTGGCGCATCGTCGTACGGATGGACCAGTATTGCTGGAAGTCGGTGTGCTCGCCTCCGATCGAGGGAGCGTTGATGCGCTCTTTCTGCCAGACCTCGTAGATGCCGTCGTCACTCTCTAAACATCCGTATTGCGTTGAGCTGCGGTTATCCGAGGGGTTGTGGTTGCCCATGGCCTCGATCACGTAGTATTCCACCAGAGGGTTCGTGGTCCAGCCGTAGAGAGCGAGGTAGGCAGCACCGTCCGTCTCGAATTCGGCGGTATAGTTTACAAGCCTTGTTTTCTTTCTGTCAGCCGCACGGACATGTAAGCATGCTTATCGTGGGGGATGGCTCACATGTCTCGGCCGGGCGAGTAGCCTCTGCCAACGACAAAGTTTCCGGCGAAGCCATCGTCCCACTCGACGGAGAACTGGCCATCATCACCGATATCAAAGTCCACGTCGGCAAAGTCGTTCCACCAACGCTGGACCGAGTTGATACCGTTACCACCACCACCGCCCCATTGTCTCGCCTCTACCTGTCCCCAGGGGAGTTCGATCGGGCCTGCACTGACGCAAGATGCCGTAGCGGCAATGGCCGACAGGAAAGCAGCCCGGTTAACCATGGTTGTTGCGAACACGGAATCCTCTTGGGTGTTCTTTTTTTGATCTTGTCTAGAGTTTCGACATCTTTTTTCTGGCGTGGCCTGATCCTTCCCCTACTTATACCAATTGTGGTCGACTGATGGTATCAAATTTGGCCAAGACCTAGCCGAAAGGCCCGAAAGCAAAAGGCAGACGCCGATACGTCTCTCGCAGAAAAGGAGATGGAGAAGATGCAAGGGAAGCATCGTTCGCTTCGAATAGAGTGTATGTTCCCCACGGTCCGGCAACCCGCGCATACGAGTATGTTGTGTGTGTATTGAACGCAGGAGCGTTAGGCGTTCGACTACCTACTTACCTACTGTAGGTACCTACCTCTTAGGAATCACACACACACACACACTCATTCCTTCCCTCTCTACTTACCTAGTCAAATCTAGTCGTCTCGCAGCTCCCTCTCTCACAGTTTGCCCCTTCCTCATCTCCAAGGGTCACCCGGAAGCGCAACGGAAGTTGCATTTTCTTTCTTCTCTGTCGACAATGGACCGGTGGATTGCTGCGTGCCCCCTGCAAGAACAAGGCTATTGATAGATAAGAGGGAAGCATGTCAGCACGCCAACACGTCCTTCGTACTCAATTAGCCTAAATTCCGCAGCTGAAGCTGGAGATGGCCTGCAACCTACGATTATTACACGACGTGACAGGCCCGTCAGGCAGCTGGGGATAAGGTACGGCTCGTCCGGTATTCGTCGCGCTTAAACGACGCGATTGGACAAATCATCTTGTATCATGGAGAAGACCCCTGCTATTTTGTTTTCTTCCATTTTGCATGCATGACAGCAAAGATCGATACGATGCTATGTTGCGCTTTTACCTGAATGGAGAAAAAAGATGCATTCATTAGAACGAAACAAGAATTTAGTACGCCACGTTTTTCATACATGTATGTAAATTACCTGTAGTTCAGGGACGGACGGATAGTTAGACGAGCTTGTGAGTCGTCGTCCTATCTTGCCGACTCTCTTCCCGGACATCAAGACGATATCTGAAAAATGAAGCTATTCCGGATCATTGTCTCCTCGACACAACGGTCACAACCACGTCTAGTTTAGTGTCAGATATCCGACATCTAAGCGCGAATCCTTACCTTCGTAGTGGGAACAAATGTGTTAAAAGAATCCATGTCGGTAGGGTTACGGTTTTAACCGCCAACTAAGGAATTAGGCACCTATATCAGAAATGTCTGGGGATTCTAGGCCATTCCTCGCGTATTCCCTTTAGGTAGGTCGATAGCAAGAGTGAAACCCACCTATGTAGTCCAAAGGGCATATGTGAGTAGGTACCTACGTATAGCAGCCAACATGACTGCCAGGCAGTGATAGTGGCGATAACGGGGCAAGGGAGCACCGTGGATAGGGGCATCAAGAAAACATGAGCGGTGAACCCTCCAGCTAGGTACAGAGAAAAGATGGCGTGCGAGAAGGAGGGTCTCGGCGTCGACTTACGGCAGTGCAGCGTTACAGCACGACAGCGCGAGGGTCGGCGCCTCCACGGCCAAGAGTGGGATATCCCGGCGGACTGGCGCATGAAGCCTTGAATGGAGCTTGGAGAACTTTTTTTTTTCTTTCGCCGTCGCAAGGATTACTGAACAAAGAGGACTCTTTGAGCCGAGGGGTTCTGGGTTTAGAAGCTTTGAAGGGGGAAAAGGGAAGTCATAAGAAATATCAAACTTTATAAAATGGGTCGATATATAAAAAGATGGTAAATCATTACTTCAAAAATCCAGTCTCTCCATTTCGAATTATCCTCTTTGTTGACTAGTCGGTCGGTTAAAGTGAAATTCAACCGGATTCTTGGGATCGAGCTGATCAAAACACAAAAAAGTATGACAAGAAGGGGATTCGAACCCCTGCGGATTGCTCCAGTGGCATTTATCGCTATTTACTAGCGCAAGATTTTTGAAACTTGAGACCACCGCCATAACCACTCGGCCATCTTGCCCATGAGCTCGTATCACGTGCTTCGATGAATTCTGTCGTCGTATGTTGCGTCTTGATCCCGATCCTCGTTGTTGGATCGGTACCTGGTAGCATCACAAATCTTGAAAACCAACAAAGGTGCCCAGTCATTGCGACACGATATCTTAAAAGCAGGTACGCGGCGCGGCGTAAAGGTGAAATGTCCATGTACGATACTACAAGTAAGGTAACTCTACGCGCAAAGGACCAAAAAAATCCAGCAACTCGTATTTATCCGCGGATAGCTCCACAGAATCCCGCGGGAACGATAATCGGGATTTTCTCTCATGCGGACCTCAGCCTCTATTGCCGTTTTCGAGCAGCGCAATAAAAGAAAAGAAAAACGCAATACCTTAGCCGCCAAGTTAGTTAGTTTATTTGGGTCGAAAGACTCTGGATATTAGTACTCGTAACAATACGAAGCACTTCAAGAAGGATCCTACGAAATGGTAACCTTATCCGTAGAGTTATTTCCTCTCTCTGGGCCTGGCTTTCAACTCTCGGATATCTGGCCGAGAGAGGGGGAGAGAAGGAGAGAAACCCATAAAACTTGTTTAACCGAGCAATTGCTAATGCAATCTTGACATCCTTTCCCTTCCCTTTTTTTAATCTCCGAAGCCAATCCCGTCGCGTTTTCCGCTCTAGCACTTTCCCAAAGCGGGTACCGTGACAACACATTACCCGGTAATAGAGATAGAATGTCTTGTCTATAGACAATCAGGCACCGATTATGATTTCCCTTGCAGCTTTAACTTGTTCCTGCATACTTGATTGTTTTGCGTATATTTTGTATCAAGGGTATCGTGGACCTTTTCTTGCCGCTTTTAAAGATACCTAGGTAGCTTGTTTGCACATTTTTAACCTAGGGGGGTCTGTGACTCCTTCCTCGAGCACTGGAGATGACTTTGGTATTCTAACCTCCGTCCTTCTTCGTCTCTTAGACTTTCACAGACGACAAGTGGTGAAAATACGCCCTACTCTTAGTCCCGGCAGTGCTGGCTGGTGGAGCATCAAGGCTCGGCGACAGCTTGGGCGGCGATGAAGCCGGAGTACTAGAATGACCGGCTACCTTTGACGAAACGTCAGTTTTGGTACATGGGACACTTCCACGGATCGGATTATTTGAATCAGCTCTCAACGATTCTTCACCTATTTGACGAATCATAGAAGCAGACTTGGATATCATGGCCAACACCCTTATAACTCACCGGTTCAATACATTAATTACATGTAGTTGGCGTCCCCCCAAGGGAGAGCATACTTGATAGTACAAATGGTGAGGTCTAAACGCCATGCCATGCATATGTGAACACAAACGCTATGGACCACGGGGGAAAGAGTACGCCCGGGTCGGAAATCAAAGCGGAATGCCTTTGAAGCCCCCTTACCAAATCCGCTTCGCTACCATTTCATACCGGACCACCTTTGCTAATCCGTCATCGACCTTCTCCTTGAACTTCTCCTGTGTCTTACGTTCTCTCTCGCGCATCCTTGCGAGACCCTCCGGGTCGTCCTCATAGATCCACTTTCTTCTTTCTTCGCCAATTTCCACCGAGCTGAAGGCACCAACTCGGAGGCCCGGCTGAGAGAAGTTTTCGTGTTCTGCCTTACCAGTTGCTATCGCGTGTTCCTTCAGCTTCATCGTGGCATATCGACGGTGAGAGTATCGGAGTAGGAGCATGCCAAGGAACAACTTGAAAATCAACAAGACAATCCAAGCGAGGAAGAAGAAAACCACCATGGTAAGCAGCGCAATAACGTCGTCCGAAGAGAATTCCCACCGCGATCGGTCGTTGGGCTGCTCATGGGCGTAACCATATACAGCACGGCCTAGTGCATGGCGGATAAGCGTATCGAGCTGCTCAAAGGCCGCCACCATGGCCGGAGATGAAGGCGTCGACGACTCGACCGATAGCTCCGTTGTTGATGTGGGTATGGGAGATGGGATATGTGTAGAGAGGAACATGTGATACACCTGGAAAGATGCACGAATAAAGAGAGACGAAAGGGGCAGCAAAGGCAGACCCAACCGCCGCGTGAGGGAGGGAGCCGAGAATGCCTATAGATGATATCAGTAAAGCCTCGCACCCTAGCCAACAGTCTTGTAGGCACGTCGGTTCATCGCATGGCGGGACATGACTCACATTCGTGTAATAATCCTTACAGAGAACGTCTAACATCCTCCTATATATTGTCGGTTTGACATTGTTGAACTTGTTGATATAGGCGTGCTTGATCCAGTCCACAATCATCTCCATACCGATCACGACAACAAACGGGGAGAGGACCTCGCCCGACCGCAGCCACGATGGCAACACAGTGAAGCTGGCAGGCAAAATAGATGGAGTGTGCAAGGGTCCAGTCTGACCATCAAATACACTGCCAGCCCCGGGTATAGAGAGCCCACCTACTTCGACTACATTACGCATCCCGATGATAAGTAGGATGATCCAGGTTTGGAACCGTTCAACCACATCGGAACACGTCAACTGAAATAAGTTCTCTTTTTCAATCTTCTTGAACACGCTGCCCTTGATCTCGACAAACTGGTTCGATATGAGGAGGGTTAGAAGCGAGTTTGAGTATGAGTTGACTGCCACGTTCAACGTGATGACCTGGTAGAACAAGCACCAAGTGTGAATCACGTTATATATCAGCGAGAGAACGAACATGCCGAATGGTAGCAGTACTTTCGACCGCCCGGAGCTGTTCCTGGAGAGTGTCTCGGAACTGAAGAGACACTCCAAGATATCTTGTCCAATAGCCGAAAGCAGTCGATCCGCCACCTGTATTGGAATTAGCATCGGCAGATGGGCGGGTATTAGAGTGGAGACTGTACCTCGAGGATATTGTATATCACGTAAAGTTTCATCGACGACTGTGCGCGGATGAAATGGTACATCCGGCTTGCGTCGAGATCCATCAAAGCGATAGAACTGCAAATGAGAATGGCCCCTTGGAGAAGATCGGCCTTATGATACGATGTGAGGCTCGAGGGCATCGATTTCGTTCTACGATGTCGAAAATGCCCCGGCCTAGGCATCACATGCTTTGGGGGATGAAATACTCCATTGGAATTCGGCCGTTGCTGTTCTCCTAGTGAAGAAGCGGGCGTATCAGATACCTTGCGATGTCTGTTGGCTCCCTTACTTTTTGCGTTCGAACTGCTGCGCCTGGGTCGACTTTGGCTTCTCTCGTTCTCGTCGTGTGCCTGGTTATGGTTGGTACCGGAAGGAACGCGGGACGACCACGCACCACGGCGTCCTCTTCGCCACAGACGACCTATCCCCGACCAGACAAAGGCCACCATCCACCGCACCTCTTTCCAGATGACATACAGCCACCATCGGACAAGAACGCCGAGGGCAGAAACAAACCGCATCGGCAAGATGGTGAAGGTATATAACCAAGCATCGAGACAGGCCAGAGTCCCAAAATACATTATCTGTTCTAGGTAGGGCGGAAGTAGCAAGGCATTCTTCAACCGCTCAAATTTGACGGCACTGGATTCGTATGGCGTATCTACTGGTTGAGCATGGTGTATGTACAATGGGCTGGGCCGCTGCCCCGCCAATTCAAGTTGTAGGTGCGTCGGGAGTGACATGGGCGGCAACGGAATCGTAGGGAGTATAGGTGACGAGGAACGCGGCTCCGAAGGTTCTGTTGCTTGGGACAAGCCTGCCTTTGAACTGGTTTGAGTAGGTCCGGGTAGTCCATTGATGTTCAATGGAGTTGGCCGAGGCGGCGGGTTCGAGGAGTTTCGCCTGTTGAAAGCTGGCCCTGGCCCAGAGCTGCTCGGGGGTGGCCTTCTGTCGATCGGAGGGGTAGAAAGAGTCCGCATCGATGGGGACGGACGCTGGAAATCGGCCGCTGTACGGCGGAAATTCTTGCTGGTTTCGAGCGAGCTATTGGACGCCACCCTGCTGAGAGTTGGCTTTTTCCCATCTTGAAGTTGTTCCGCCATAGAAGGAATGGTCTCGGCAACGCCTGCCGATAAGGGGTATTCACCTCCGCTTGGTTTTCTTGCTGTGGTCGTGACAACAGCAACCGGAAGTGAGTCTGGAGAGGATGCTAGGGCTTGCATCTGGGAAGCCGAGAGCTTCCTAATGCTCGAGCTAGACTGCGTGCGTGATTTGGCCATTCCACCGGTATGTTGCTGCTCAGACTGTGGTTTCGCCGAGCCGTCCCCCTGGGGTGACAGTGGGCCACCCTCGATGCTCGGTCCGTCAAGGCTCGGTCCGTCAAGGCTCGGTCCGTCAAGGCTCGGTCCGTCAAGGGGCAAGCCGGGACGGTTCATCGCGCCCAAGCTTCCTGGTTTGCCAATGGCTTGCTCGACTTTAAAGGTATCCGGAATATTGGAGACGGGGGCCCCGGTTGGTGTACTATCGAAGTCGGGGAATGGGTCGGTCGGGGGTGTAGGACATTGTGTCGAAAGCCGCCTTGCCTCTACCCTAACATCGTCTCGTCCCTTATTTTGCTCCTTGGTTGGAGAGTTAACATGCCCTCCACCAATTTCTCTTTCTCCTCCTCTCCCGTGTCGCCCTCTCTCCCTAGACAACCGGCCCGGCATCGTTCGATCCTCACGTTAGGAAATTCGTAGTGGACAGTGTTGAGAACATCCTTGGCTTAGGTTCCTATCTTGAACCGTCGGCTAAGAATGTCGTCGGATCCTAAGGCACGGACAGGTAATTGGTATCGTTAGCAATTGATTGGCCATGAAACAGCTACAAAAGCTCATGATCCAAGATCGCAATGCCTGCAGGCTGATAATGCAGGTACGTACAAAGGTTACGCGGTCACTGGTCGGTCAGGCAATTGACCAGAAGGTCGCAAGGGCATAACGCAATGAGGACCGTTTTAGTAGTTAATGTTAAACTGTAGTATATAAGGTATACTTTAAAGTACTAAGTCCCCTTATATTAACTTATAACATTACTAAAAAAGTAAGTACTATTATAGTGTAGGTTAAAGATTAATTTACTA